ACACGTGGCTTTGGAGTGTAGCGCCGTATATCCACTCTTTTCTTCCCAACAGAAATCACATCCTGGCAGGGGACTGGGGTTGTGGCTCAGTGGTGAAGCGCTCGTCTAGCACATGTGAGGCACTGGGTTTGATCCTCAGCACTGCATAGTATTTTTTTAAATGAGCAGATATTATATTTTTAAAAAGAAAGAAAGAAATCACATCCTGACACTTTTACTATCCATTGCAAAGGGCACGGTGCTCTGGGCGTGTATTGGTTCCCTGTGTGCCAGTGCCAGGCGGGAGCTGAGCTCAGCACTCAGGGACCCAGATGAGAGGGAGATGAGCCCAGACTGTGCAGCAATGATGGGAATGGCCTGTACCTGCACCGCCTCGGACCTAAGCCAACCATGGTGACAGAGCACCTAAAAAGTAGCCATGCATAACCGAATGTAACACTCGCACTAGGATTTAAAGACAGTACAAAACTGGGCCTGGTCGTGCATGCCTGTAATCCCTGTGGCTCAGGAGGCTGAGGCAGGAGGATTGGGAGTTTGAGGCCAGTCTCAGAAACTTTGTGAGACCCTGTCTCAAAAACAAAGAATAAAAAGAGTTGGCTTTGTGGTAGAGTGCCTCTGGGTTCAATCCCTATTTACCCCCCCACCCCCAAAAAAGACTTAGTGCAAAAGAAGAATGTGGGTCAGTGTGATAGGCCTGTAATTGCAGCTACTCAGGAGGCTGAAGCAGGAGGATTGCTTGAGCTTGGTGGTTCAAGGCCAGCCTGGACAACATAGTGAGACCCACAGCAACATAAAATATCTCACTGATAATTTTTTTTTTATTTATTGCATGCTAATAAATTTTAGACATTGTGTAAAATAGATACATTTTTAGATGAACTAACTTGTTTTTCTTTTTACTTTTAAAAATATGGCTGTAGCTCAGTGGGACAGCACTTGCCTAGCATGTGTGAGGCCCTGGGTTCAACCCCCAATGTGGCAAAAAATAAAGGGAGAATAAAAAATGTAAAAGCCAGGTACAGTGGCGCACGTCTGTAATCTTACCTTGGGAGATGGAGGCAGGAGGTTCCCAAGTTCAAGGTCAGCCTGGGCCACTTAGCGAGACCCTGTTTCAAAATAAAAAGGGCTGGGATGTATCTCATGGTAGAGCATCCCGGGGTTCAATCCCCAGTGCCACAAAAATTAATACATGAATAAATACATACATACATACATAAAGAAACGGCTGTGGAAAGCACTGAATTATAAATGAGACTCACGCTACTTTTCTGGGGGATGTGGCAATGGACCTTTCTGATGCCCACCGCACACCAGGCAGTGGACGTGGTTCTCCTGGTTCGGGAGACGGTCACATTTTACACAGATCTGTCTCCTGGCATTATATCACTTTTTTACAAAAATCAGCCCAATGTGCCTCAGCCCCTCGGAGCCTCTGGGCCAGAGGAGCCCAGAGCTGTGTGTGCTTCGCGCTCCCGCAAAGCCACGGTGGGTGGCTGCCAGCAGAGGGGGTCGTGGTGAGCAAGCGTCTCTAGTGCCACTGTGCGTGGGGACTTTCCAAGGTTTCTCAATTCAGTGCTCACCAGACCCTGAGCCCTGAAACCACCATCCTTCTCAGAGATGGCCTTGGTGTGAATGAAAACAAGCCCTTCAGAGAGACCCATCCCTCAGGACCCTGTGGCCATCATGACTATGTAAATCTGTACCCTAAAATGACATTGGTTAAGCTTTCATTATGTATGGGGTTGGACTCTTGATGTCGCAGAGGCAGATCAGTGGGCGTTCAGAGAGGGGGAGGAGCCGCCCCATGTCACACAGCAGTGCTCTTCCCAGAATCCCCTTATGTCGAGTAAAATAGATGAAATAAATGTGATATATATTTATGCCGTGATAAACCACACAAGAATGTTATTTAATCTCCTAGACGGCAATACCTATTTGTCACAAATCAAACAGAGAGGTTGGTTTCAGTTTTAAGTGCACTCAGGTACCTTATAAAATGGTGATTAATTGTGATAATTTTTCAAATTAGTGATCCAGCATTCCGGCAATCAGAATGTGTTCCTTTTTGATTCACCAAACGAAGCCAAAACAGCTCATGTCTCTAAGTGGTAAACCGTTCCCACTTCCCACCAGACAAATCCTGGTAAATAAAGAGGGATCTTTCCTTTTTATTTATTTATTTTTATAGTGATTTTCCTAGGTGTGGACATTCAGATATTTTTCTTTCTTAAGCTACAAACATGTGTTTTTAAAAATTTATTTTTTTTCTGGTACCAGGGATTGAACCCAGGGGGACTCCATCACTGAGCCACATCCCCAGCCCTATTTTGTATTTAGAGACAGGGGCTCACTGAGTTGATTGGTGCCTCGACGTTGCTGAGGCTGGCTTTGAACTTGAGATCCTCCTGCCTCAGCCTCCTGAGCCACCGGGATTACAGGCCTGCAGCACCGCGCCCAGCACATGTGTTTATTTTAACAAGATATAGACAACCGAGTTCTAGCTGCTTTAGAAGAAATTGCAGTTTTGCAGAGATGGGGAAAGCAGAGCTTCCTCTTGTGGTTCTCCTGGGCTGGCTTCTCAGCAGATACGCGCACCCATTTTGAGAAAAAAATAATGAAATGCTCCTCCACTGATACAGTAAGTTTTGAATCCAGTCAGGCAAATGTGTTTTCTTTAAGCATCTTTAAATTAACACAGCAGCAAAGTCTGTGAGCTCTACTTCTTTTTTAAAATTTTTTATTTGTTCTTTTTAGTTATACAAGACAGTGAAATGTCTTTTGACATAGCATACACACATGGAGTGTAACTTCCCATTCTTGTGGTTGTACATGCTGTGGAGTTGCCCTGGTCATGTGTTCATATATGACCCTAGGAACGTTATGTCTGGTTCATTCCACTGTCTTTCCTACTCCCATCCTCCCTCCCTTCCCTTCGCTCCCCTTTGTCTAATCCTGTGAACTTCTTACCCGCCCTGCCAGTGTGTTAGCATTCGTATCTCAGAGAACATTCGACCTTTGGTTTTTTTGGGATTAGTTTATTTCACTTAACATGATAGTCTCCAGCTCCATCCATTTACCAGCAAATGCCAAAATTTCATTCTTCTTTAAGGCTGAGTGATATTCCATTGTGTACATGTACCACATTTTCTTTATCCGTTCATCTGTTGAAGGGGATGTAAGTTAGTTCCATAGCTTAGCTATTTTGAATTGAGCTGCTATAAACACCTGATGCGGCTATGTCACTGTAGTATGCTGTTTTTAAGTCCTTTGGGTATAGATCGAGGAGTGGGAAGACTGAGTCAAATGATGGTTCTGTTTCAAGTTTCCTGAGGAATCTCCATACTGCTTTCCAGAGTAGTTGCGCCAACTTGCAGTCCTACCAGCAGCGTGAGAGTGAACCTTTCCCCCACATCCTCGCCAATATTTGTTCTTGCTTGTATTCTTGATAATTGCCATTCTAACTGGAGTGAGATGAAATCTCTGTAGTTTTAATTTGTGGTTTTAATTTTCATTTCTGTTATTGCTATTGATGTTGAACATTTTTTAAATATATTTGTTGACTGATCATATTTCTTCTTCTGTGAAGTGTCTGTTTGGTTACTTTGCCCGTTTTTTGTTTGGGATATTTGTTTTTTGGGGGTTAAATTTTTTGAGTTCTTTATATATCCTGGAAATTAATGCTATATCTGAGGTGCAGGTGGCAAAGATTTTCTGTGAGCTCTACTTCTAAAACATTCCCTAAATCCTTCCACTTCCTACCCCTTTTAAAGCCACCACCTGCACCACGCTGCCATCATCTCGGGGCTGGTCGACCACCACAGTCTCTGATGGGGCTCCCTCCAGTCCATACTTCACCCAGCAACCAGTGGGAAGATTTGAAGCAAAAATTGAACACCAGGGTTGTCCTGCCAGAAACCTGCCATCATTTCCGACCTTCCTTTGAATAAAATCCAAACTCCTCATGGCCACCAGAAGATGTGGCAGCCTTTCACAGAGCCTCCTTTCCCCTGCCCTGGAGCTGTAGCTGCACTGACCTGCTTTCACAGCCGCCTTCTTCCAAACACATTCCAGCCCCAGGGCCTTTGCACTTGCTTGCTATTCTCTCTGCCCGGAACACTATTCCCTAAGAGTGTCAAATGACTAGCTCCTGTGTCATTCCGACCCCAGGTCCAATATCACCTCCTAAGAGGGGCCTTCCCTGACCACACTGTCTACAGGACCCTGTCCAGTTGTTCCCTCTGACATGCTCTCTTTTTACATTTCATTCCACTAACTAAATATGGTGTTATTTTCACTGTTGACTTGTTTATTAACTGTGTCTCCTGTTCTTCAGTTGAGCTCCATAAGAACGTGGACTTGCCCGATTTGTTTAGGGCTTAGAAAAGTACTCAGTAAATGTTTATTGAGTAAATGAATGAATGAGCAAATAAGTCAGAGAGAGAGAGAGAGAGAGAGAGAGAGAGAGAGAGGAGCCGGGGAGGGAGAAGGCGGGAGGGAGGGTCCTAAACCAAATATAGAATGACACAGGGATATGAAGCCTTGGTTACTGTTTAGCTGGATCATTGGAGCCACGTTATGTGACCTCACCTTTGTGACTTATTGCACAATAATGGTCCAGTTTTACTTGACTCTAGTCCCTCAGCCCAAGGCTGCTGTTTCTCTGTCCATGTGTCTTTGTGTCCTTCCCACCCCCTGCCAGCAGGTTTTACTGTTATCCCCATTTTGCTGATGAGGAGCTGAGACTGACTTGGGTGACAGGAGAGTGACAGGTGGGTGTGAGTGAAGCCAGGTGCTGAGGGTTAGCTTGGGCATTCTGACCAGGAGCCGCAGCGCCCGCCACCCACTGCCCGCCCCGCTGCCTGGCACGGTGGTGTTCCCATTGTCCCCCTGACTTATCCTCTGAGTCAACTCCACAGCCCGCTGGTCCTGGACCAGGTCAGGCAGCATCAGCAGACTCCCCTGCTGGGCTCTGGACAACCCAGCCTCCCTTCTGCCTGCAGGATGGGGTGCATGAAGTCCAAGTTCCTCCGGAATAAAGGCAAGGCCTCCAAGTCTGAGTCCAGCACCAACCTGCACAGCCCTGTGTACATGCCAGATCCCACGACCCCGATCAAGTTGGTGAGTAGGGGCGGGGCCTGCCAGGCCCTGGCAGCATCTCCTTCCCCAGGCTGCGCAGGGTGTGGTGGGGACGGGGTGGCACTGCCTAGCCATCGGCGGTGCCCATGCTCTCCAGAATACCTCTCCGGATACTTCCCAGGCAAGGACGTCCCTCCCTGTCCTACAGAGCACCTTGCCCACCAGCGTGACTCCAACAACCAGCCGAGGCGCACCAGCCTGGAGGCTGCAAAGCAGTGACCCCCACCAGACCAGTCCTAAGAGCAGCGGCGGTGGTGGCAGTCACAGTAGCATCTGTGTCATGCAAGAATACACTAGCAGTCGCAGTACGCCTGGTGGTGGGCGTGCGACAGCAGCCGCAGCAGCAGGCACAACAGTGAATAAGAGGCGCAGCCAGGCTACCAGGGGGTGCCCACTCCCTGCTGTCCAGTCTCTGAGGGACCAGGCTGTCCTGTGCACTTTACAGAATTAACGCGCTGAGTTCTCGCAACAGGCCTGCTGTAGTGACCATCAGTACCTGCCCGTTTACAGCTGGGCGCAGAGATCAGCCAGCTCGCCTAGGGCCTCCCCTAGGGGTGGGCGAGTAGGTTCCTAGGTGACGCCAATGCTAAAGAAAGGGATGGTTATCGTGGTGGTGACAGTGCGGTTGATAGACAGCGGTGGCAGCCATACTAGTGGTGACTGTGATGGTGGTGAAAAGGGTCATTAGCGTCGTAGCGGTGGTGAGACACTCACGCTGTGATGGCAGTGGCTGGGCTTGCAGCAGGGGTAATAGGTGTAATAATCTAATCGTTCCTGTTCGTTGAGCACCTGCCAGGGCCTGGGCGCCCAGGTAAACGGCCTCCTGTCATGATTCTTCACGGAAAGCTGGGAGACAGCAGTTAGGCCACGTCACAGCCAGGGTGACCAAGGCTCAAAGAAGTTAAATGGCTCCAGAGGGCCAAGCAGCAGGGAAACGTTCAGCCATGTCTTTCTAACCCCAGATCTGGGGTTCTCTCCGCTCAGTGCCCCTCTATCTGTCCCAACTGAGGTTGGCTGGGGACTCGGCAGCAGCTGGAAGTCCAGCTAGGTGAGGGGGCCTTCCTGGGTGGCCCCTTAGGGAGTTCTTCCTCACATTGAAGGGAGGCCTGTTACCCCATAACCTTACTTCTTGGGGGGGGTGTTACCAGGGATTAAACTCCAGGTCACTTGACCACTGAGCCACATCCCCAGCCTTATTTTGTATTTTATTTAGAGACAGGGTCTCACTGAGTTGCTTAGCGCCTTGCTAAGTTGCTGAGGCTGGCTGTGAACTCATGATCCTCCTGCCTCAGCCTCCTGAGCTGCTGGGATTACAGGCGTGTGTCAACATACCCAGCTCCCATAACCTTACTTCTTCTTTTTTTATTTTAATATTTTTTTAGTTGTAGATGGACACAATATCTTTATTTTTATGTGGTGCTGAGGATAGAATCCAGGGCCTCACGCGTGTGAGGCAAGGGCTCTACCACTGAGCCCCAGCCCAACCCTTACTTCTTGATCCCAAACCTCCCTGTTAGCCTTTGCCCCTGGACAGCCCATAGAGATTGAAAACAACCAGCTGTTGCTTCCAAATCCCTTCAGGACACGAGTTCCTGGCCTCTCCCCATCCTGCTGCCCTTCCTCAGCAAGATGCCTCCAACAGGACTAATTCTTGAAAAGGGAGACTAATGGAAGTCACCTCTCTCTTTGACCTTTGACCTCTATTAACACAGCCTGAGATGATATGAGCTTCTGATGCTAGTGATGCCCTGAGCGGACCGCAGATCACAAACCCGAAGGCACCCCCGGGGTCTGCTCCTCTTCTAACCTGTGTGGCCCTGGGACGTTTCTGGGCTGAAGGCTTCCAATTCCCAGGTTCTCAGAGGCCCTCTGAGTTGTCACCAGCAAAAAGCAAAGGGTTTCTCCCGCCAGTGTCTGGTTGTCCTCTCTGAACATCAGATTTAAGGACTGTAGTTATCAGCGGTTCCTTGTTCCTCAGCTACAGGGGGCCGTGTGGTTCCCCGGTCAAACCAGAGCGGTGGGGAATGTTTGTAATGAACCTTGTGAATCTCCACCCCCCTCAAAATCGTGTCTTCCACGGTGTTCCCTAATTTCTTCAAGCGAATGTTTAATGACACATGTGACAGACAAATATACTCTCCTTGAAAACAGAGAATCACAGATTACATCTAGAGCCGCAGTGTCCACTGCCCCACGCTCCCCCTCCACTTGAAGTGCCCCAGCCCCCAGAGGAATCCACGGTTGTCAGTTTGGAGTGGACCCTTGCAAAACTTTTTCCATAAATTTACACTCACACCGTCTAGTGTGAGGCCATGGAAAATATTGAAGATATGTATTGTACTTATCATTCTGCAGAACTAGCTTTTTTTTAATCCAATGATGTGTCTCTGAGGTCAAGTTATATGAGTCTTGACCTTCCTCTTCTAAGAGATGCTTAGAGCACCACCATCTGAGTGGCAGATCCCCCTTTGAATGGACACTTAGATTTTTTTCACATACATAATGGAGTCTTTTGTTCATGGGAAATATTAGTGGACCTACAATTTCTTCAAACATTGGAAAACACTGATCTGGACCAACTCCCTCATGTACATGGAGAGGAAGTGTCAATCCAAGTATGTCCAAAGCAGAGGCCCTAACTCAAAAAACCTGTATTCTTTGTGTTGACTCTGCCTCTGATGTGCTGTGTGGCCTTGGACATGTTCTCTGACCTCTCTGGGCCTCCTCCCATAACACATAGGACTTAGGATAGGATGGGTATCCATTTCTTCCCCCTGTGGAGCTGGGGATGGAACCCAGGGCCTCATGCGTTCTAGGCAAGTGCCGTACCCCTGAGCTACACCCAGCCTCCTTAAAACGTACAACTTTCATGACTTCTTGCACATTCTCAGATTCATTTTCCTCTCTCTCTTCTTCCTTCCAGGGGCCTAACTACAATGGCAACCCCCCAGGGTTTGTGGAGGGTGAGTACCTGGCAACCAGGGTCAGTGGAGTGGGGTGCTATGGAGAGGGTTAGGTCAAGTTCTCAGTCCAGTTTGAGGCAAAAATCCCAGAGGGTCAAAAACATCCTTGAACACCCCCTGAACCGCCCTGAGACTCTGGCCCAGGCCCTGGCACTCCTGTCACACTGTCCAGGGACACGAGCAAAACACTATTCCCTCTTCACCCCGGAACCGTGCCGCGTGGCAGGAGCCTGCTCATGCTGGGACAGCAGAGCTACAGTCCAGGGCCGGGGGCGGACCCCCGCGCCTTACCTTCCCGCGCCTTACCTTCCCGCGCCTTACCTTCCCGCGCCTCTCCCTCCAGCAGGCTCTGAGGACACTGTTGTGGTCGCCCTGTACGATTACGAGGCCATTCACCGTGAAGACCTCAGCTTCCAGAAGGGGGACCAGATGGTGGTCCTGGAGGAGTGAGTCCCCACCCTGTCCCCAGCTCGCCCACCTCAGTACTGCATTAGACCCTTGTCTTCCGGGAAGACCCGAGAGGCTGGCCCAGAAGTAGATGGCTGTGGTCCCAACAGAGGAGACAAAAGGGGTGGTTGTCACCCCGATGGGGGCCACTATAAAGGGGATCTAGCAATGGCACAGCCCAGGCAGAGGGGAGCAGGGGGAGGTCTCTGAGTTCCCGGGCTCCATCCCCTTCAGCTGTGGGGAGAGCACCAGCCAGTGCTGGGCCGACAGGGGAGCAGGGCTTGCTCAACCACACCCTCTGGGCTCAGCAGAGCCTCTGTGAGTCCCCGTGGGCACCAGGCCCTGCCTTGGGCCAGCCACAGGGCCAGTGAGGGCGAGCAGGGCAAAGGCCCAGTCCACGGGCTGTGAACTCAGGGACAGGCTTGACCCTCATGCTCAGTGGGGACTGAGTCCATATCTTGTCGTGTTGCTCAGGACAGTCTTGGCTCAGCCCTTCACCCTATTGACCTCCTGGGGCTGGGGGACTCTCTAGGCCAAGTTGGGGTGACCTGAAAGGACTGGAGAAAGGTCCCTCTGCTCCCTGACTCCTCCCCTCTTTCTTGTCCCTTAGGGCTGGGGAGTGGTGGAGGGCGCGATCTCTGGCCACCAGGAAAGAGGGCTACATCCCAAGCAACTATGTGGCCCGCGTGAATTCCCTGGAGACGGAGGAGTAAGTATCCCATTTCTTGCTTCCAGAGGGAAGCGCGATTGCCTCAGGCCCTTTGCACACACTGTCTCCTGTTGGCACCCTCTCCCCAGGCTCCTGGCTGGGCTGGCTTCTCACCCTTCAGATCTCAGGGAGGCCTTCACTGGCCACCCATCTAAGGTGGGTCCCCTCTGCAACTTTCACTCATGTGAGCCTGTTTTATCCCCACAGAACACCTCGTGCTAGCAGAAAACTGATATCATTTCTTTGGTTATTCACCTGTGCATTGTGCACCTTCCCTGCAAGGATAAGCACTGGCACTTGTGCTCTTGAGTTAGACTGTTTGGATTTGAACACCCCCTCTACAATTTCCAAGTTTTGAGACCCCAGACAAATTGCCTGCCCCTCTGTTTTTAGTTTCCTCACCTATAAAATCAGAATAAGAAAGGTGATAATTCCATAGAGTTGTTGGGTAGATAAGAAGAACTCAATGAATACTAGCTATCTTTCTCCCCAGCTGATAACAGAGGAAACGGTGGCCCAAAGAGGGAAAACAACTTGCTTAAAGTCACACAGGGTTTGTGGCAGAGCCAAGGCCACCTGACATCTGTTCTGGGGCTTTTTATTTTTATTTTTATTTTTGGTACTGGGGATTGAACCCAGGGTGCCTAACCACTAAGCCACATTCCCAGTCCTATTTTGCATTTTATTTAGAGACAGGGTCTCACTGAGTTGCTTAGGGCCTTGCTAAATTGCTGGGGCTGGCTTTGAACTCACGATCCTCCTCCCTCAGCCTCCCAAGTTGCTGGGATTACAGGCATGCACCACTGTGCCCGGCTTTTTCTATCATCCCTGTGAGGGTGGGGATGGATTCAACTGGGGCTACTTGAACTTTTCTACCCAATATTCCAAATATTCAGGAAGAATGAAGAAAAGTTCCTAGGATATGATCCCAATTACAAAATTCTTTTCAATCTCACGTTCAAGCCTAGGAATTCATACCAACTTTATTTTCAGCTATGTATATGCAGAGAAAGATTGTCGGAAAAGCTAGGGAAGTTCAAGGCCTCACTCCACAGACCCCAGGGCCCTGAGAACGAACCTCCCAGGGTCACCCCTGCTTGTGAAATTGCAAAATTAAGATGCTTGCTCACAGCTGGCTAGGACAGTTGTCCCTGGACTCTGTCTTCCTATCCATCTCCCTGTCTTTCCGACTGAGTGGCCCTGGAAAGACCATTTTGCATTTGTAACACCGCCTTATTTTTTGAAGTCCCTCCCCCAAGTCCCCTAGGCTTCAGTCTCAGCAAACTGGATTTGCCTCTGGCAAAACATCTGTTTGGACATCAAAAGGTGATTGTTTTCTCCAAAATCTCAGAGTCAAATGATGCTGCAGGAAGCCAGCCCGCAGCCTCCCCTTGTCCTCCACTGAGTCCCGCGGGCCCCCGGGGCTCTGCGTGAGAGGGACAGACCGCCCCGGCTCACCACCTCTGCGTCCCTTTCCCTCAGGTGGTTCTTCAAGGGCATCAGCAGGAAGGACGCAGAGCGCCACCTCCTGGCTCCCGGCAACGTGCTGGGCTCCTTCATGATCCGGGACAGCGAGACCACAAAAGGTGACGCCAGCCCTCCCCACCTTGTCCAGTGCCCCAGGCGCGATGCCACCACCCCACCCTCCGAGCGCGAGCGCGCTCCGTGGAGGGTGGAGCGACCCACCCAGGTGGCCAGGCAGCCGGTTCTCTCCTGCCCTCTGCCGGCGGGGTCCAAGCTCTGTGCCCGGTCGCCCCAGGAGGCCAGGCCCCCAGCTGGGGAGGCAGCCATGTGGCTCGGGAATCTATCCAGCCAACCCTGGAAACTGGATCTTTGCTAGCTTGTATTCCCCCCTGTACTAGGGAGAACCCAGGGGCCTCTACCCTTGCCACACCCCAGCCCTTTCTACTTTTCATTTTGAGACAGTCCACTAAGTTGCCCTGGCTGGTCTTGAACTTGAGATCCTCCTGCCTCACCCTCCCAACAGACTGGGAGTATAGGTGTGAACTATCACATCTGGCTACTAGCTTTTATTTGTTTATTTATTTGTTTGTGCCAGGGATTGAACCCAGGGGTGCTTAACCACGGAGCTCCATCCTCAGCCCTTTTTATGTTTCTTAGAGACAAGGTCTCACTAGGTTATTTAGGGCCTTGCTAAGTTGCTGAGGCTGGCTTTGAACTTCCAATCCAACTTCCTCAGCCTCCCGGGTTGCTGGGATTACAGGTGTGTGCCGTTGTGCCCAACTTGGCTTTTATTATTATTTTTTAAATCACCATATATCTTGTCCAGAAGCCTAATTTCTCCCTCTATAAGGAAACCGGGTAGGGTGAGGCCGTAGGAAGACCCAAGCCGGCCTCCTCTGGACTCTGCCTGAAATGCTCCTTGGAGGAGGTGTTTGGAGGTTCTGTTGTCTGGAGCAGCCTCCTGAAGTCCCTGTACGCTGAAGGTGACATCTTGCTCAGTGGTGATGGGAGGGCAGGAACAATGCCTGAAAACATTGTGTGACAACCTGGCCTCAAAGGCTAGCTTTCCCCAGGGGATGGGCGACTTTAAGTTAAGCTTCTGTAGTTTGGTTTCTGTGCTGCTGATTCACATAAATCAAGCAAGTTGTATAAACTGGGACCTCACGGGACCCTAAAGCAAACCCTTCTGGGAACATTGATCAAAGCATCAGTGTGACCAACTGGACCCCTGTGACTAGGACAGTGTCACTCACGGTCAGTGTTTCAGGTCAGAGATTGTTTATTTTCTCCCACCCAATAAGCCCCCTTCGAGGCCCCAGGGGGAAATGTACAGAGACCAAAAGAAAGACAAGGCTTCCTGTCGCCCAGCAGCTCTCCTCTCTGGTGTGCCCAGGACAGCTTGGGGACAGGGCTGGTCCATGCTGCAGACAGGGACAGAGCAATCAAACAGAGTCTCACAGGGCGGTGGGGGCAGGAGCACAACCCTTGTCCAGCCTTCATAGCCTCCACGGCAGGGGCATGATGGCTGAGCCACCATAACAAAAATTGCAGCATGAGGCCCCTGAATATCATTCTGCTGGTTTTTTGGATTCTGCCCACCCTATGGTGCATGAGTCAAGCCAGCCTCATCTGGACTGGGACAGAGTGACTAAGAGGGAGCCAGTTGCTTGGGTTTGAATCCTGGCCATGCCACTTACCAGCTGTGTGGCTTTAGGGGAGTTACTTCATCTCTCTGGGCCCCAATCTCCTCATCTATAAATCAAGGCTGGTAATATTATAAAACCTCTACCTCATGGGGGTTATTCATTATTATAAATAATGTCATTAATGTAATTATAATTCATTATAATACATATTATTCCTTTGCATTTATTGTTCATTTGTACAGGGTGCTTAGAACAGCTCCCAGTCAGTAGTTAGTCATTCACAGTTTAGCTGGGCTGGGCTCAGTGGCAGGTGCCTGCCTTAGCATGCACAAGGCACTGGTTTCGATCCCCAACACCTCCATAAATAAAGATCAATCCAAAACAAACCTTCCCTCAATCCTATGAGGAAGGTGGAAGACGTGCCAAGGGCACCAGCTCGCAGATGGCAGACTGTGGTCATGGACTCCAAGACTTGTGTGTTTCTGGTCCAGGTGATCACAGTGCAGGAGGTTCCTACGTTGTTGTCACAATTACTGCAAGCCCAGTGGCTGGGACCCTCGTAAACTTGTTACAGTTCCCGGGGTCAGAAGTCTGACCTCACTGGATTTAGGACATGGCGGCGGCAGCAGCTGGCTGGTCCCTCCTAGAGGCTCTCCCTGCCTGGCTCTGGAAGCCACCAGCATTCCCTGGTTCTTGGTCCTTCCTGACTTCTCTCCAACCTGTTATTTCCACCTTTCCACCTCCTGCTGCTGACCTTGACCTTCTCACCCACCCCCTGCTCGGGACCTGTGCTTACCCTGGGGCTCCCTGGATAGTCCAAGATAATGGCCCTTGCTCCAGATTCTGAGTGTAAAGTCCCCTTTATCATGTAAGGTGGCCCGTTCCCAGGTTCCAGGTATGAACATCTTGGGGACCCCTGCTCAGCCTAGCCTGCCACGGTGTGGTCACATGTCAGTAATCGGATCTTCTGTATGATTTGTCCTTTTATTTGTTTGTTCCTGCATAGTCTGGCTTGTTGTTTTTTGTTTTTTGGTACCAGGGATTGAATCCAGGGGCGCTTAACCACCGAGCCACATCCCAGCCGTTTTAATATTTTATTTAGAGACAGGGTCTCACTGAGTTGCTTAGAGCCTCGCTAAGTTGCTGAGGCTGGCTTTGAGCTCACGATCCTCCTGCCTCAGCCTCCCGAGCTGCTGGGTTTCCTGGGGTGCACTACTGTACCCGGCATGTCTTGACTTTCTGTTTCATAGATTGATGTAAGTGGTAGATAAATACCATAAATACTGAGGGTGATGATGACAGGGACCATTTACGGAGTGTTTGTTCTGAGTACTTTACAAGATCACTTCTTTTGATGGCCAGGCATTGCGATGAGGGAGGGAGGTGTGTTCCCATCTCACAGATGAGGAAACTGAGGCACAGAGAGTCGATACAGTCTCCTCGTGCCCAAAGTGTCATGGATGGACATGGCAGAACCAGGGTGAGAACCCGGAAGCATGATGCCACAGCCCACTCTGCCCTCATGTGCTCCTGCCCAGGTGCCAGGGTGGCGCCAATAGCGGCTTTGCAGAGGTGTCGGGAAAGGGTGTCGGGTGCAGACCAGGGATGGCAGGTCCCAGAGGTGCTGTCCTGAGGGGTTTCTTTCTGGCCATCGCAGGGAGCTACTCTCTGTCCGTGCGAGACTACGAGCCCCACCAAGGAGACACGGTGAAGCACTATAAGATCCGGACCCTGGACAACGGGGGCTTCTACATTTCCCCGAGGAGCACCTTCAGCAACCTGCAGGATCTGGTGGCCCACTACAAGAGTGAGTCAGGCCTCGGGCCACAGGCCACCCTGCAGAGCCCACACCCCGCCCTGCAGAGCCCACACCCCTTGGTCTTTAGTTTTCAACATATTTGTGGGTTTTTTTGGGGGGAAGGGGTACTGGGGATGAAACCCAGGGGCCTCGACCACTGAGCCCCAGCCCTATTTTGTATTTTATTTAGAGACAGGGTCTCACTGAGTTGCTTAGCTCCTCGCTTTTGCTGAGGCTGGCTTTGAACTGGAGATCCTCCTGCCTCAGCCTCCTGAGCTGCTGGGATGACAGACGTGCACCACTGTGCCCGCAACACTTCTGTTTTATTTTGTGTTGCTGGGGGTGGAAGCCTGGGCCTCACTCACGCTGGGCAGATGCTCAGCCTCTGAGCTGCACCCCAGCCTTCAGACGTCCCACCACAATGGGCTGTCCCCAGAATCCCAACCTCTGGGTGCACTTTCTGACCCTCCCCAGACAAACGGTTGCTTTGGATTCTCCTGAAGCCTTGGGTGTGTTGGGCAAGCGGGTGGGAGAGGTGTGAAAGTGGCATCCCGCCCTGCTCTGCTCCCTGAGGAACATCCCTGTTGGTGGCAGGCAGGTGGGACATCGGCCAGAACACTGCCAGGAGGCCTCTGAGGGGAAGCTCCTGCTGGCTCGGAGCTTGCTGTCCTCGACTGACCGGGGGACTCTATTCCAGAGGGGAAGGACGGGCTCTGCCAGAAGCTGTCAGTGCCCTGTGTGTCCCCCAAGCCCCAGAAGCCGTGGGAGAAAGACGCCTGGGAGATCCCTCGGGAGTCCCTCGAGCTGGAGAAGAAGCTGGGCGCTGGGCAGTTCGGGGAAGTCTGGATGGGTAAGGACCCAGAGTCCACAGCCCCAGAGGGAGGGCCCGAGGGGACAGTGCGTCGGCTTCCAGGAACTCCCCAGCCCAGGGACGGGGATTTGAATAAGAGCCATAAGGGGGATTCCTCTGCTAGCGAACCAAATGCCCCTGCGGTCCACACGGTCCACGCGCTGATCTGCCTCTGACGTCCAGCCTGCTGGGATGGGAGCTTCGCTCGGGGAAGTGGGAGTCCTAGATGAGGAGTCCCCTGGTGGAGACGGTCTGCCATTTGGGTTCACGAACCCAGAGGCCCCTGGGGATGGTGAAGGGGAACAGTGGGGAACGGAGCTTGGACCTTCCAGGTGAGCTCAGGGCTGGCACCAAGGACAAGCAGTTCTGAGCCCCTGTCCTGTGCCCAGCAGCTCCTCAGACATTGTGTGCTCAGAAAGGCACATTCCGCGCGCCCCTGCTGTCTTCGGGACCGCGGGGTGGACACGACTCCTGGCCCCGCGCCCCACTGTGCGGATTCTCCACCGCTGGCTCCCGCAGGGGTGCAGCCACCCGGTCCCCGCCCCCTACACTCAGCGGAAGAGCCACGCACTTTAAGAACATTTATTGAGCGTATTCCAGGCACTGAATCAGAAGAATGAGGCAAAAGGGAAATATGGAGAGGAACGTGGGATGGATCAGAGTAGAGGGGCCCCAGACCCTCTCTCTAGGAGGCCCCAGATCTGCCCGAGCTTCCTGAAGCCAAGGCATAGATAAGACCAAAGCGATCAGGAAATCAACAAGCAGGGTCTGAGTCCCTGGGGTGGGATAGGGGTGGTGCTCAAGGGACTGAGTGGCACTCAGGGTGATTCATGTATAAGGCAGCAAGAGTAAGTGTGGTAGAGGACCGGGCTGGAGAGGTGGGCACACCACATCAGGTGCATAATGAATCTGCAGTTTATTTCAAGAACAGTGTTAAGATTGAGGTGAGATGTGTGGTGGAGTGTGGTAACCTAAGTGGTGTTTGGGAATTATTTTTTAATCTTGTGACAGCCCCTCAGAAAGAATGGTTATCATTTCCACTTTGCAGATGAGGAAACCATAGCTCAGAGAGGTTAAGTGACTTGCCCCAGTACACACAGCAGGGAAGCAGCAAACCAGTCTTCTAGCTCATACCTGTCTGAGCCCAAAGCTGTGCCCTCCCTCCCTAAGGGCTGGGAGGGCAGGAAGGGCTTTCTGGAGGAGGTCCGTTTGCAGTTGGTCTACCAGGGATGAGGGAAGGCAGCAGATTCCAACCACCTTCCCTGCTCCGTGTCCCCCTTCAGCCACCTACAACAAGCACACCAAGGTGGCGGTGAAGACGATGAAGCCTGGGAGTATGTCGGTGGAGGCCTTCTTGGCCGAGGCCAACCTGATGAAGACGCTGCAGCATGACAAGCTGGTGAAGCTGCACGCGGTGGTCACCCAGGAGCCCATCTTCATCGTCACGGAGTTCATGGCCAAAGGTGCGCCTGCTGGGAGCCGGGGGCGGGGGTGTCGGCTGCCGCCCATTCTGGGAACCGCAGAGGCGAAGGTGGCTGCACGTCTGGCCAGGAGGCCTGACCACAAGCACCCAGCGGGCACCAGCCAGCCAGCCCTCCTGGATCATGGGGTCACCGTGGGAAAGGGAGAACCTGGGCCACCGGGAGAGGGACGCGGCTGGAATTGCCTGAGCAATGAGGCGAGAGGCACGTGGGTCCCTGGTGGCTCACCGTGAGCCTCAGAGACCAGGGTGACTCTTTTCCTCCTCAGCCCCTGTCACTGGGGCCCCAGTGCTGTGGAGAAAAGAGCAGAACAAAATCAGCTGGAGGCCACGCCCACCTTGTGACAATTCAGCATTTCCCAGGGTTGTTTCTTAGGTCGCCATTTCATGACCATTTTCAATCCCTGCCCATTTGGAGATCAACAAAAACTTTTTTTTTAATATTTATTTTTTAGTCTTAGGTGGACACAATATCTTTATTTTACTTTTTATGTGGTGCCGAGGACCGAACCCAGTGCCTCATGCATGCCAGGCAAGCGCCCTACCACTTGAGCCCCAGCCCCAGACCAACAGAAATGTTTTACACAACCTGTTTGTGCTTTGAAATCACAAAACTCCCTTTTCTAAATATACAATTATGCCAGTTTGTTTATAACTTGACCCCAGGTGCCCAGGCTCAGAGGGTCGTCTCAGCCAGAGGGCCCCACTGGCAACCAGAAAGTCCTTTCAGAAAAACTCAGGTTCTAGTCCTCAAACGTGAGGCGTGGTAAGCAAGTGTGTTTATAAAATCCATGCTCTGGCTGAGGCTGGGGCTCAGTGGTAGGGCGCCTGCCCAGGTGTGCAAGACCCTGGGTTCAATCGCAAGTACCGCAAATAAATACATAAGCCCATTGCTGTGGCCAGACATGGTGTGAGCACCTCTAGTCCCAGCTGCTCAAGAGGCTGGGGCAGGAGGAGCACTTAACCCAGGAAACAACAGTCTGGGCAACATAGTGAGTCCCAGTCTCAAAAAAAAAAAAAAAAAAAGCCGGGCGTGGTAGTGCATGCCTATAATCCCAGCGGCTCAGAAGGCTGAGGCAGGAGGATCGTGAGTTCAAAGCCAGCCTCGGCAAAAACAAGGTGCTAAGCAACTGTGTGAGACCCTGTCTCTAAATAAAATACAAAATAGGGCTGAGGAGGTGGCTCAGTGGTTGAGTGCCCCTGAGTTCAAACCCCGGTACCCCCACCAAAGAAATTGCAATAAAAAAATTTAAACCATCCACTAAATAATAAGAATAGTAAATGTCCCTCCTCCCTCCCCAATGCAGGAAGCCTGCTGGACTTTTTGAAAAGTGGAGAAGGCAGCAAGCAGCCCTTGCCAAAACTCATCGACTTCTCAGCCCAGGTAAGAGCCTCATGGTGAGGCTGTGAGGATAGGGACAGGAATACAGCTATTGATTCAAGAAGTAGTTATTGAACACATACTGTGATCAGAGTGTGAACAAAACGCAATGGTTAGCAACTGTGGTGGCGCACACCTGTAATCCCGGTGGCTCAGGAGGCTGGGGCAGGAGGATCTTGAATTCAAAGCCAGCCTCAACAACTTTGTAAGGCCCTAAGCAACTCAGTGAGACCCTGGCTCTAAATAAAATATATTTCTTAAAAGACTGGAGATTTGGCTCAGTGCTTAAGCACCCCTGAGTTCAATCCCTGATACAAAAAAAAAAGTAATAGTTATTAACTGCCCAGTATAAAAAAAAAATCCATCTTTGGGGGCTGGGGTTGTGGCTCAGTGGTAGAATGCACACCTCGCATGTGGAAGGCACTGGGTTCGATCCTCAGCACCACGTAAAAATAAATAAACAAAATAAAGGTATGTGTGCATCTTCCCCAGCCTGGGTGTTTGTCACTTCTACCTTGTCCCATGGTCTTTGCTATCTGTGGGAAAAACAGGAGGACAGGGGGCTGGGGGATTGCACAGCCAAGCAGTCAGCCTGGTCCAGGAGCAATCAGAGAGGGCTTCCCAGAGGAAGCAGCCTCGAGGCTGTTGTGAAAGACAAGTTCTACGGAGGCAGAGGAAGGGCAGGGTGTTCTAGACAGAGGAAACAAATGCCCAAAGGGGAAACAAAGGAGCAGCTGGACCTGGGGCTGGGCTTTCTGGACTTCCCAGGGCAGAACTCATTTGCATATGCAAATATCAAGGACCCCAAGTGCACTGACAAGGCCTAACAAAAGGCTCTGTTTTCAGAGCCTGGAAACCAAGGGTATATGGAAATCGAGGCCTGGTATTTTCACTGGGATGCCCTTAACATCTGGGAAATAATAGTTGGTCTGTTGCTAAATTATAACCATCAAGTAGCAGAAACCTTGCTGGGTAGGGCACAGACTGACAAAAGCTACTCTCCCCGTTTCACAGATGGGAAAACAAAGCAAAGTGGGGAAAGAGGTTCTAGGCCTCAGTACATCTAGAAGCAGAGGTGACTCTGAGCCCAGGGACAGGAAAGAGCCTTCCTGGGGACCTGGTTTTTACCTCCAGGCCTAGAGAAGCAGACGCTGCAGCAGGAGGGTGCCCAGTCCCGTTACCAACTGGCTGTTGAACTAGGAACGACTCTGGGTCTCAGTTTTTCCTTTGTCCAATAAGGGAATTGGACACAACCGTGTTTGCCAAGTTTGATAACATTGTTTAGCCACAGCTCTGTTAGTGGAGTGAAGTTTTTGTTTGGTTTGGTTTGGTACCAGGGATGGAACCCAGGGGCACTTTACCGCTGAGCCACATCCCCAGCCCTTTTAATTTTTCTTCAGAGACAGGGTCTTGCTAAGTTGCTTAGGACCTCACTGAGTTGCTGAGGTTGGCTCTAAATCTGTGATCCTCCTGCCTCAGCTTCCTGAGTGGCTGGGATTACAGGTGTGCGCCACTGCACCCAATGTAGTCAAATGAAGTTCTATACAGTAGTTAAATATATAAAATTATAAGGCAAAAGAGCGCTGCTCTGGTGGAAGCAAGCAGGGAGGAGCCTCATATGTGGCCCTTCTTTCCTCCCCTGATCCCCAGACAACCTGGAGGTATCAATAAGATTCAGCTTGAAGAGCCCCAGGCTAGCATATCCTTTCCAATTGGTCCAGCTCCAATTCTGTGACTCCCTGATGCTCTTGGAAGCAAACCCAAGTACTAGTGCCTCGAAGAAATGATCTGTAAGCAAATGGGCTTAGGGTTTTGCATTGATCCCCTTGATCCCATCTCTGCCTGTGCAGCTTTGAGCAAGGTGCTTAACCTCTCTGAGAACTGGGAGCATGGATAGCCACGGTCAAAGAGAATAGTCTATGGCAGACACAATCCTAAGCCCTTGAATGTAGGCTTAGAGAATTAACCTTCACATGACCTCCTGGAGGCAGGGACTGTTATTATCTCCCTTTATAGAAAAGTGAGGCAGAAGAATGAAGAGATGTCAGCTAGTGGGTACTAAAAAAGTGCAGCCTTTTGACTGCACCATACAAAGTACTAGACCAAAAGGTCAGGTGGAGTCAATGAGGAGGACTCTGAGCCCACCTAATACCTGCCATTAGCCTAATAACTCTTGCTGATGGTTCGTCTTCTTAGAAATTCCCCCACTCCCCACTCCCACACCTCCCACTCCAAAGAAAATCAGAAACCCTCAAGTTTTTGTTCCCAAATCCAGACCTCAGTTCCCCCTGCCTCGGATGCCCCCTGCTGTCCATGCAGTGCAAGTGCACCACCCGCTCACCTCAGCCCTTGAGCCCCTGGCCTGGCCTTGGTCTGTCTGGTCAAACCCTTCGCCCTCTACCTTCCCAAAGGGCCTCATCGAATTGTACTCATGCAGCCCTCCAGAACTCCGCTTTCTAGGGTTATTTAGAGGCAGCGTATTTTAGGGGCAGTAGATTAGGATTCTTTAACCTGGGTTTGAGGCTGACATTCAGTATTTTCCTGATGGGGATCATGGTGATTCCCAGCTTGAAGGGACCAGAGGCCAGTTTGTAAATTGTGTTATTTCCTGGGTATCTGAGGATTAACCTTAAGCATTTTCTATCCAATCTCTTAGAAGAAAAATGTCTCTAAGACACAAACATGTGTGTCTTAGGCTTCCTGGGCACCTACCGTGAATGTACCCTCCACTTGGTCTGTTATTCACTGGGCAGCTACAACAGTCTAAAAATCTGCATCAAGGTGGGTGTGGTGGTGCAGGCCTATAATCCCAGTGCTCAGGAGACTGAGGCAGGAGGATGGCGAGTTCAAAGCCAGCTTCAGCGATTTAGTGAGGCCCTAAACAATTTAGCGAGACCCTGTCTCAAAATGAAATTTGAAAGGGCTGGGGATGTGGCTCAGTGGTTAAGTGCTCCTGGGTTCAATCTATGATACAAAAAAAAAAAAAAAATGTGCATCAAATCATGCACACTATATTGGCCAAATTATATTATTACATTGTGTATGTGCTAATATGTAACGACAGATCCTGTCATTATCCACAACTATAATACACCAAAAAAAAATGAAAAAAATCACGCACACTCCTGCTCAAAGTCTAATATCTCCCTTCGCCATCAGAATAAAATCCAACTTCCTCTCCTGGACTGCAAGTCTGTTTGGAACTGGTGGTCTCCCTTTCAACTTCAGTTCTCTGAATCTTCGGCTCATCCTCCCTGGCCTCTGTGCTCTTCCACTGTTCCACGAACACCAGCTCATCCCTGCCTCCAGGCCTTTACACCTGGTATTTCTGCCTGGAATATTCTTATTTATTTGACACACTTTTTTTATTGTCATCATTCTGATCTTTGCTAAAAATTCACCTTCTCCAACCAACTTTCCTGACCACCCAACAAGCCCTCAATACTTCCTGTCCTGTAACCCTGTCTTCTCTGTCCCTTCTGGTACTTATCACCATCGTCAGGAGCTTTGCCCAACTCACCGTCTGGCACCCATAAGACCCTCCGTAGATTGTTGTTGAATGAATAAATGAGTCTTCTCCTGGAGAAATCATCGCATTGCTTTTTCCTTGAGGACACTTCAAATGCTCTCTGGAAGTTTTGTGATTCTAGAGAAATCCCCCAAATTGAGCAGGCCTTAAGGATCCCCCAGCCTGGGTGGATACGCAGAGAAATGCCAGTCTGAGCCCAGAACCCTTCTGACAAGACGGAGAGCTGGCGCAGATGTTCTTCACTTTTCTCCCACTTGGTCAGTCCCATCCCCCCCCCCCACTGCTCTGGTTTAGGGCGAGAACCTCTTGGGCTGGGCCAGATCCAAGGGTGAGAGTGTCTCCGTTTCGGATGCAGATTGCAGAAGGCATGGCCTTCATCGAGCAGAGAAACTACATCCATCGGGACCTCCGAGCCGCCAACATCCTGGTCTCTGCTTCCCTGGTGTGTAAGATTGCTGACTTTGGCCTGGCACGCATCATCGAGGACAACGAGTACACGGCTCGGGAAGGTAGGGAATGCCACCTGCAGCCCCACATGCCCTCTCGGATGGGCTGTGAGTGAGTGCCAAGAGGAGATGCCTGCGAGAGTGACAGCAAAGGGCAAATGTCCATATACCCAATATTACCTCTGTGTTACGAAGCTGGTGAGGTCTTTCTAGTGTCTTGGATTCGAATCTCTCCCAGAGAGGGAAATTTCAGAGCAGATTGAGAAGCACTGATCAGTTCTAGACTTAGTGAGGCAAGTACATGTTGAAGTTTAGGGTTAAGAGTAACTTGATAGCTGGGTATACTGGTGAATGCCTATAATCCCAGCAGCTTGGGAGGCTGAGGCAAGAGAGCTCCTAATTCAAAGCCAGCCCCAGCAACTTAACAAGGCCCTAAGAAACGTAGAAAGATCCTGTCTCTGGATAAAATATAAAAAAAGGACTGAGGATATGGCTCAGTGGGAAAGCACCCCGGGTTCCATCCCTGGTACCAAACCAAACCAAACCAAATAAAAGGCAACTTTAGTCTCCCAATGTCCATGAACAGTAGGATGGACACATAAGTTGTGAAATATTCACATAATATAATATAATACCAGGCAGCAATGCAAAGCACATTCCAATGCCACAGGCAACCAAATGGATGATTCTTACAGAACGATATCAAATTGAAATAAATCACCCCAAAAAAATGTTGATGCTGAATGCTTCTGTCCATACGAAATAAAAAATAAATAAATAAAAAGAAACTCATAATAAAAGTTCATAGCAGCATTATCATAGTCACCAAAAATGGAAACAGCCTTAATTAATGTTGATCAACTGATTAGCAGATAAACAAAATGTGGTCTATTCATTCAATGGAATGTTATTTGACCATACAGTGGAATGAAGGATTGAAAGATGCTGCAATATAGATGAACCTTGGAAACAACATATTAAGTGAAAGCCAGGCACACAGACACATCTCATATGAACGTCCAGAACATAAGGTGCAGTCGTAAACACAGAAAGTGACTTTGTGGCTGCCTAGGGCTGGGGTGGAGAGTTGGGAAAAAATGAGGAATGAGTACTATGGAATTTCAGGGGGAGTGTGATGAAAATATTCTAAAAGTGAATATTCTAAAGGTTATTAAACTGTATACTTTAAATGCATGGATGCTGTGGTCTGTGAATTGTATGTCAATAAAGCTGTTAAAGAAATGGTTAGGAGGCTGAGTCAGGAGGATCATGAGTTCAAAGCCAGCCTCAGCAACTTAGTGAGGCCCTAAGCAACTCAACAAGATCTTGTTTCTAAATAAAATATAAGAAAGTGCTGGGGATGTGGCTCAGTGGGTTAAGCGCCCCTGGGTTCTATCCCAGGTACCAAAAAAAAAAAAAAAACTGTTAAAAAAAAAACAGGCAAAATTCATTTCTAGTAACAGAGGTCAGAATAGAGGATACCTGGAGTAGGGAAGTAGTGATTAGGAAGGAGCAGGGGAGCCTTCTAATGCTTAAAGAGTTCTATACCCTAATCTGATGGTGATTACAAAGGTGTGTATTTATTATATGTATGTATAATAATAGTATAATAATAATATTTATATAATAATATTATTATAATATTTATATAATATATATTATATATAATAATATGTTATATATAATAATATTTATATATAAGTGAAATGCATTTATGTATAAATATGCATTATATGTAAAAATGCATTTATATACATATAAATGCATCAAGTTGTACCTTAGAGTTTGTACGCTTTAATCTTATGTTTGTTATGACTCAATAAAAATGTTTAAACCAGTCAGGCGTGGTGACACACGCCTGTAATCTCAGCAGATCTGGAGGCTGAGGCAGGAGGATAGCCAGTCCAAAGCCAGCCTCAGTAACTTAGTGAGACCCTCTCTCAAAATAAAAAAAACAAATGAAAAGGGCTGGGGATTTTGCTCAGTGGTTAAGCACTCCAATACTAAAAAATAAAAAAATAAAATTAAAAAGTTAAATTTTATTTTTTTTAAAAAAAGGAGGATGTGTAATTTCTAAACCAGGAGAAGATAAGCAGGAAATAAAAACTCTCTAGATCTAAAGGAAGAAAGGGAAGGAGAAACACACACACACACACACACACACACACACAGAGAGCAGTTTCTTTTTTTCTTTTTTTTTTTTTAATATTTTTTTAGTTGTAGATGGACACAATACCTTTATTTGATTTATTTACTTTTTATGTGATGCTGAGGATTGAAACCAGTGCCTCCTACGTGTGAGGCAAGTGCTCTACCACTGAGCTACAGTCCCAGCCCCAAGAGCATTCTCAATCCTCAGTCATAATGCTGGTCTCATCAGATCCAAAGAACATGCAGATGGCTCCCAATTTGTGATGGTTCAACTTATGATTTTTCCACTTTGCAATGGGGCAAAAGCGATCCACATCCAGCAGAAGCATACTTTGAGTTCTGATCGCTTCTCCAGACTAGTGATATGCAGTAGGGCCCTCTCTCACCATGCTGGGCTGCGGCCCTGAGCCACTGAGCCCGGGGAACAACCAACCAACCCTCTGCTGTGTGACTGAGCTAAGATGGTCAGGAGGTGGGGTGGATTCAATGCGCTTTTGATTTATGGGATTTCCACCATCACGATGGCTTTATCAAGGTGTAAGCTCATCCTGAGTCAGAAGCATCTGCATCCTCCACACCTAACTTAGTTAAGAGAAACGCTAATGAGAGGCTGACTGAGCCCCTCCCAGGGCAGGTGGAAGGAAGTGGGGAACAGGGTGGAGATACCCTGTGACCTCAGAGACTTGAGCCAATGTCCTCCCCTCCCCCATTTCCAGGGCTGAGGAGACCAAGGTACCAGCTGTGAAGTCTCTGTCCCCACATTCTGTGCCCTCTAGGACTCCATTCTTCTGAGCTATAGTTCACTGGAATATCATTTGAATCAACAAGGTGTCCACTCTCCTTTGCCATCTGTCCTGCAGATGGATGTCCCCTGCTTCCACAGCCCTGTGGGGAGCAGCTATTGCCCTGTCCTGTTTGTTCCCTCGCCCTAGCAGAGACTCAGCCCCAACTGCTCTCCAGAGGCCCCTGACTCTGCTCTGTCCGCTCCTGCAGGGGCCAAGTTCCCCATCAAGTGGACAGCTCCTGAGGCCATCAACTTCGGCTCCTTCACCATCAAGTCAGACGTCTGGTCCTTTGGAATCCTGCTGATGGAAATTGTCACCTATGGCCGGATCCCTTACCCAGGTAGGGAAGGCTTGGGACCTGGCCAGGCACCAGGTCCATCTCACTGGTATATTCATTCACAGTCCTTGATCCTCACCCTCCACCTTCCCTTGCCTTTCCCATCTCTACTAAAGCACCACCATCTGCCCAATTTCCTAAGCTTGCAGTCTAGGGGCTTCCTCGGCCCTCTCCCCTCTCTCACCCCTTATCATATCCAAGCAGTCACAGGGTCCTGGCCATTCAACCGGAAACACGTCCCACGTCTGCCCACCTCTAACAGCCTTACCTGCTCCCAGGCCACATCACCTTGCTCAGCACCGTGGCCTCCCAATCTGTCCTGCTGTTTCTCCCCTCTCTCGCCTACAGACCATTCTTCATCTGTGGCCAAAAAGATTTCTCTAAACTGCAAATCAGATCTTGTGCCTTCTCCACCCCTAATTCTTTAACGGTCTCCATTATAATTAATACAAACCCTCCTAATGCCTCACTGACCATCAGGCACCACATGATCTGGCCTCTGCCTCCCTTTCCAGCTTCCTCCTGTCCCCTCCCCAGTCATCTAAAGTATAGCATGTCTCCCCTGTGATTTCCTTTCATAATATTCTATGCTATATTCATTCATGGCGTCCATCCTAATTGATAACCAGGTATTTGTTTAATATTTTCTCCATCAGATTCCGAGACCATAAGGCCAGAAATCATGGCTGTATTCCTTACCAGTGACTCCAGTGCCCACCTCTGTGCTTGACCTATAGTGGGTTTAGTAATGACTTGTCAAATGGATCAATATATCCCCCTGTCTAAGGACAGTGCCCAACACTCGATATACAAAGATGAATACCGAGTAGATCGCATGTAGATTGAATGCAGATGCATGTAGATTGCCTGGGACTCAGGGAATACTTGGGGTGTCTGTAACTAGAACACTGGGGAGGATCAAGATGGATTTAAAGAGTCCCTGACTTTTTACACATACAGCACTGAATTTAAATCCTATCCCCATCAACTAAGACAAACTAATGGAGTGATGCTACTTTTCAGAAGAAGAAAAGATAACTTGCCGATGGAGAGGTCAGGGAAGGAGAATAGAGAATGATTATCCTGGCTTTAATGGAACAGTAGAAATTCAAGAGTTGTTTTAGCCTTGTTAAATTGGAGGTGACATATAGACATCCAAGTAAAGATGTCTAAGGGAGCCCTCAAATCCATGAGTTCAAAGTTCAAGATTGAGAGTATAAAATTGGAAGCCAGGTACAGTGGTGCACACTTGTAATCCCAGCAGCTCCAGAGGCTGAGGCAGGAGGACTGCAAGTTTGAGGCCAGCCTCAGCAACTTGCCAAGATCCTGCCTCAAAATTAAAAAATAAAAAGGCTGAGGATGTAGCAATGATAAAGTACACCTGGGTTCAATCCCCAGTACCAAAATAAATAAATAAAATCAGGGATCACAGGCATTTAACAGTTGTTCTAATACGTAACTAATATAAACCTAAATTGAACAAGGAAATCGTCCCACTCACAAGATGACCTTGAATCTGGCCATCTGACTTTTGTTTTGTGAGAACACTAGTAATCCAGGCAATGGGTTATAGAGCCCTGTATCCATTTGAATGTACTAGGCAGCAAATAACAAAAATAATAGACAAAGTGTTTCTGAAACAAGAGGCAAGTCATTATTCCCCATCGAAAGAAGTCATGCCATGGTGGCTGGTTAGTTCAGCAGCCGAACAGCTGTCAGGATGCTGAGTTAGTTGATGGTGTTCCCCATGTGGGTAAGTTCGTTGCTATAACTCCAAGTATTGCGTCATCTCCCAGTGTCCAAAGGAAGAAAGGAAGGGGTGTGCGCCATGCCTCGCTCAATCAGGAAGGAGAACATCTCCTGGAAATCTCCCAACGGACATCCCCCTCAGCTCCCCTTGTTCTTTCCTGGGTCCCGGCCCTAGCCACAAGGAAAGCTGGCAAAGGGAGCGTCTGGCTTTCTCAGTGGGAGGGGCTCAGCCTGCAAGGGGAGATGGGGAGCCACTGTATCTGTCCACCCTGGGCTCCCACTTCTCAATCCCTCCCTTTCTAATTCTCCGGCTCCTTCCCAGGAATGTCAAACCCAGAGGTGATCAGGGCGCTGGAGCACGGGTACCGAATGCCTCGACCCGAGCACTGCCCTGAGGAGCTCTACAACATCATGACCCGCTGCTGGAAAAACCGCCCCGAAGAGCGGCCCACCTTTGAATATATCCAGAGTGTGCTGGATGATTTCTACACGGCCACCGAGAGCCAGTACCAACAACAGCCTTGATGGGCAGGACCAGGCTGGGGCCAGGAGGTGCCCAGGAGGTGTCTCCAACACCAGCCACTGGAGCCCATTCATCCTTCCCATTCCCAGACACCCACCCTCACTGCAGCCACAGTCTCCTCATCTGCCAAGTGGATGGGTGGACTGGACAGTCTCTTTTTGACTCTACCAATCCACACTGTGCCATTCTCAGGAGTCTCCCAAGTTGATATTTCTATTGCCTGGGATGATTGAATTCCAATTACAGCTGTGATTTAGAAATGTTTAAAATTATAAAATAAGTATATTTAAATAAAAGCTATTGAATAAAAGATATGAATGCCAAGGGCTTTACCGGAAGTTCTGCCCTCCTGTCCTTCCAGTTCCAGAATACCTATTTGCCATCTTGCTGTGGGCGGAAGGACATTCCTAGAGAACAGAAGTGTAAAGAAAAGTGACATTCAATGCTCAAAGTTTTCCAACTGCCCTAAAACAGTTGCTGGCTGTATTAGTTTCTTATTGCTGCTGTAACAAGTGACTTCAAACAATGCAAATTTATTATCTTATGGTTCCAGAAATCAGAGTTTGAAATGGGTTGTCAGGGCTGCCTTTCTTCTGGAGGACCCAGGGGAAAAATTGTTTCCTTGTCTTTTCTGGCTTCTAGAGGCCACACCCGCCTTGGCTCATGGTTGCCTCTGTACATCATTCCGAACTCTGTTTCCATCATCGCTTCCCCTATACCAATTCTGAGTCTCCTGTTTCCCTCTTCAACTTGTAAGGATCCCTGGAATTACACAGGACTCGCCCAAAAAATACAGAACACTTTTTCCATCTCAAGATCCTTAATCGTATTTGGAAAGTCCCTTTTGCTGTGTAAGTAAGGTAACGTTGTCACTGTTTCTGGGGGTTAGGTCATGAACATCCTTGAGGGGCCGTTATTTTGCCTATCACACTGGCGTCCAGATGCTGGATGAGTGTTGCCTCCCAGGACCAGGTTGTGCCAGATGCTAGGAATGATTTCTCATGATCTGACTGTCCTGCCAAGCCACGTTGCTAGCTGAGCTGGTTGGTCTAGATCTCCCCCAGGGTGGGTGCTGCCTGAAGCCTTGGCAGCTCCTATGGCCACATGGCCATCGTGATTGTTAAGATGGTATTCATTGTTGCAGGAATCCTGGAGTCTAGAAATGGGGCAGCTGAGAGGTACCTCGTACGGCGCTTGGAAAGCTCTTAATGGGCTGGGGAGAGAGACTTAACAGGAAGCAGAGGAGACAAGAAAGCAGGGGTGCTTCCCGCAGTTGAAAAACTGAACCTTTCTGGCAGTTAGCTTTTTTTGTTTTTTTGGGTGGGGGGAGGTTACCAGGGTTTGAACTCAGGGGCACTTGACCACTGAGCCACATCCCCAGCCCTATTTTGTATTTTATTAGAGACAGGGTCTCACTGAGTTGCTTAGTGCCTCACTTTTGCTGAGGCTAGAACTCGGGATCCTCCTGCCTCAACCTCCCGAGCCCCTGCAGTTATAGGCGTGCACCACTGTGCCGGGCATGGCAGTTAGCTTTGGACATGGAGGAAAGATAAGAAGATGTAGATAATGGGATAGGGCGTGATGACACTTTTCAATATTATTGCATCCCCTGAAGGATCTGTATCTCAGCACCCTGGTTCTGGTTTGGTCCCTCATAAGGTGATATGTTGAAGGTTTGGTGTATAAAGCAACAATGTTCAGGGTCAGAACATTAGGAGGGGGGTGACTGGATCACAAGGACTCTGATATCATGAATGGATTCATCCACTTATGGATTCATAGCTTACCAGGCTACAGAAAGGTGGTGGAAATGTTAGGAGGGCAGGCTGAGTTGGAGGAAGTAGGCCTTTGGGTGCATGACCTTGAAAAGTATATGGAAATCCCAGCTTCTCTCTCTGCTCCCTCTCTCTGCCTCCTGATCATTTACAGCACAGTTTCTTTTGTCCTGTGCTTCCACCGTGATGTTCTGCCTCCCACAGGACCAAAGTGACAGGGCCAAGTGACCATGAACTGAAACCTCTGAAACTATGAGCCAACGTAACTCTTGCCCTGTTTTAAGATGATTTTCTCAGGTATACTGTCACAGGAATGGAAAGCTAACTAACACAAACCCTCAGGGTCACACAGAAATCTATATCTGTTGAAACTACTGTGCACCTGTCAGCAGTACTAACCTTAAGTACTAGGTATAGGGTTAGGGATGTGGCTCAGGCAGTGGCGCTCTCGCCTGGCATGCGTGCGGCCTGGGTTCGATCCTCAGCACCACATACAAACAAAGATGTTGTGTCCACCGAAAACTAAAAAAAAAAAAAAAAATTCTCTCTCTCTCTCTCTCTTAAAAAAAAAGAAAAAAGATTAGAAAAAAAAAAAAAGAACTAGGTATAAAGGGTGGGAGTGGTGGCACACGCCTGTTATCCCAATGGCTCAGGAGGATCACAAGGTCAAAGCCAGCCTCATCAAATTAGCGAGACCCTGTCTCAAAATAACAAATAAAAATAGGCTAGGATGTGGCTCAGTGGTTAAGTACCCCTGGGTTCAATCCCTGGTACCAAAAAAAAAAAAAAAAAACTGGGTATAAGAAAAAAGTGGAGAGTTAAGCTAGCTAAAACAAACACTTTGGGTTTTTTCCTAGACATGTTTTTTGTTGTTGTTGTTTTTGTTGTTGTTTTTTTTTTAAGAGAGAGAGAGAGAGAGAGAGAGAGAGAGAATTTTTTACTATTTATTTTTCAGTTTTTGGTGGACACAACATCTTTATTTTATGTGGTGCTGAGGATCGAACCCAGCACCCTGCGAATGCCAGGCGAGCGCGCTACCCCTTGAGCCACATCCCCAGCCCCAACATGATTTAACTTATATATGTCTAGGAAAAAAATCAAAAGTGTCCAAAGTGTCTGTTTTTCCTGTTTTCACACCACAATCAACACAGATTTCTGTGACTCTAAAAGGTGTGGGATTTCCCCCTACCATTCAGGAAACAGTTCTGTCATAGGGGGTGACTTCTAATCCAATTCGGTTTATAGCACTATTCACTCAGAAAGCATCGGATCCCACAGGTTGAGGGTCTAGTCCCCAACACTGCCCCTGACATCTGACCTCAGATGTCAGTCACAACCTCAGCTGTTTCATCTGTGTTTCTGACCAACTGTCACAAGTCGGGATTCTCACAAACCCCCTCCTTGGGTTCAATACATCAATTCAGGTAGCTCAGAGAACTCAGGAAGCACTTAGGTTTTAATGGTTTATCATAAAGGACATTATATAGGATACACAGGAAATGAGGCAGAGGGTGAGGTGTGGGGGAAGATGCATGACGTGTCCATGTCCTGTCCGGACCTGCCACCCCCTGGAAGTCTCCAAGTGTTCAGCTGTCCAGGAGCTCTCTGAACCCTGTCCTTTGGGGGTTTTATGAGTGCTTTATTGCATAGGCATTTTTGCTGACAGACTGGGTGGGGAACCCAGCAAGGTCCATGTATTTAGATTTTTTTTCCTGCCTCTCTCTGTGGCTGTCCTTCCTCCAGGGTTTGGGGCAGGACCCAGCTGCAGTAAGGAGGGGTCTTATCACCTACCACAGAACAAGAGGAGGTCAGAGAATTTCTGTACAGCTAACTCTTAGACAAAAAGGCAAGGGAAGATTAGTTTCTGGGACCCACCTTAGAGAAAGTTCCATTTTTATGGCCCGCCTTGTGGAGGGAGTCATGAGCCAGGAACCATGGAAGAAACCCAAAATAAATACAGCATAATATCATAACCTGCCTAGTTGGTCATTTCATTTCTCTCTTGCTTTTTGGTTTGGGTGGTGCTTGGGTATTGTCATGAGGAACAAAAGGTGTGACTTACGCAGTCCAAGGGGAGAAATAAAGAATGTCCATGCGCTTCTGCCCTAGTCAATGCTTTATTCACTCAGACCACTCAATACAATTTCACTCTACGTTCTTAATCAAGAAAATGACAATGCTTAATGCTGGGCACTGCCACAGACATCATCAATTCACAGCAAACAATTCTAGATTGATTCTAAGCACTGCAAACATGCTTAATCATGACAGGCTCACGACAGACATTCCCTCTGCATGCTAAGCTCAAGTGTCAGATCAGAAGTCTCAAACCTTAGGCTCTCGGTCCAGCAGATGCCCAGTCAGACGTCGGTGATCAGGTCAGGAACCAAGGCAGTCTTCTCCTGGGGTGGAGGTGATGGCTGGCTGGGGAGGCGGTCCTAGGGAGAAGCTCTCACCAGGGTCAAGAAGTGGCTGTGGAGTTTGAGGGCGGTGAGAACAACGCAGAGGGTCAGCTAATGATGAAAGATGCCGGGACTTCAGTCCAGGTCCTCAGGCTCTCAGCGCGAAGGCATCACTGTCGTCTGGCTGAATGTCTATTCATTTGCTCTATTATTTATACCAAATTTGGGGGCTTTTGACTCCCCTTTCAATCCTTATCAGCTGCCCCGGGTCTGTCAGTGACATCATTTACACCCTGATTTTCTCGCTTTTCCCTCTTATCAGGTGAGGACAGCCTGCCACAGGCTTCACTCTTGAGTTTATCAGGGTGGGGAGAAGTGACTTCTTGGTGCCTGAGGACCACACTGGAGGGCTCCGTTAGGTGCGCCTGGTGAGACTGCAGGTTTCAAACTGGAGTTTTTAAAACGGAGTTGCTTGGGCTCAGGCCTAAGGCCATCCTGACAGGTATCCAAAAGCGAAACCCATGGTCCTGCAATGGGAATTTGCCCTCCTGATTGGAGGTACACGGGATCCTGTTCGGGAATCCATGGGAGGAGTACACATCCTGCCCCCAGATGGCGAGCTTGGCCAATGGGATGTTAGAGGCTTGAAATATGTTTGCGGATATGGGCTTGCTCCAGCCTTTTGCCCTGAAAAGAACATGGCCTAAGGAAGATGAGTGACATTAGGAACAGGGTGGGACTCCGCCTGCAGGGGGCCACTAAACTGAGCTGAGCCCAGCCCAGATCAGCGGAACCCCAGCTGACCTGTGGACACGTGGAAGAGAATGAAATGCTTATTATCATATGCATTTGATTCTACGGTTGCTTTGTTATGTAGAATTGTTATAGCAATAGCTGACTGAGACATGATCTCAGGAGTTGGAGCCTGTGACTGTAGGGACAAGGCTAAGGAGTCAGCTCCTGCCCTCCTACTCCTTCAGCCAACACTGAGTTATCCCTCTGGTCACAGGAAAAACAAACAAAAATATGGGTATAGATACAACACCAAAAGCATGATCCATGAAAGAAAAAGTTAACCTGAACCGGTTGCGATGGCACACACATGTGATCCCAGAGACTCTGGAGGCTGAGGCAGGAGGATTCCAATGCTAGCCTCAGCAA